TGGGAATATAACATTCTTTTCCTGAGTTCTTTTATTTTAGCAGCTTTGGATTTATTCTGTACTTAGGTGACGTGGCCATATTATGTTGGTTATTATAGGAACTTTAGCTCGACTATATAATCGAGTGTTGGTTAGCTTTGTACTGTGACTTTCATTTGAAATAATATAGAGAAAATTCCCAAAATTAATCTTGAGCTCTCAGCTTTACATGGTATCAGAGCAGGACATAAATGGCGCGCAATGGCGAAGGAAGAGAGACAGCGGTCAATAGATACACACGCGATTCAGATCCGCTTTTACTTCACGGCTCAGACCACCCTGGAATGGTGTTGGTAAGCAATCAGCTCACCGGATCTAATTATCTTCACTGGAGCCACGTCACCTAAGTACAGAATAAACCCAAAGCTGCTAAAATAAAAGAACTCAGGAAAAGTATTGAGATTGTACTATAGATTAGGATTAGGCTAAGGCCCATATATGTATCTATATATATGTGTACTTCTCTTTGTGAATAATACAACATATATTTTTCCCACATTCTCACACTTATACGAAATATAACTATTTGTTCAAAAAGTATAATTCTATAATTTCTAGACCTAGCAAATGCTTATCGATTAGATTGTTGATTTGTTGTTCAAGCTCAGACTCAGTTGTTAATTAAAAAATCGATTGTAACTAATTTTTATTGACGAAACAGATCAATTCACGTACTATCCTTTTCGGGCAGGCCCATTCTATGAGAGGCCCACAAAGATACAAAGGGAAGACAAACTTCAGTCCAGTCCTTTTCTCTGAAAATGACCCAACATTCACGGATTAAATACACCAACTGGACGAAATTGTCAAATAATGGGCCCACTCATGGTAGCCCATTTTTCGGGGCCCACGTGCAATCGAAATTTCTTCATCAATTGATTTTGTTATGATGACTTGGTCGATTTTTTTTCTTAAAAAAGTGTATCAGTTGTAATTTGACGGTAGGGGACAACTGACTGTCCTTGGGCCAAATGTGATAACAGGCCCAATATCATTTCATACAATTATGTTAATTGTTGGGTCGTACACTTGTCCAGGCATTCATCTGACTTTCAGGCTGCAGCCCATCAGATGTCGGATCCAACTATCACCGCAATCCAATAGGGCCCACCATAACATCACTATATTGCCGAGCAAGTCCAATGTTGCGCTACAATGCTACTCTACTTCAAAGGTGTGAGAAAAATTCGCTTCAGTGTTGCACTATATTTTCGCACTGATCTGAAGATATGAACAGTATCGCTCTACATGTAGCGCGACACTGTTCATCGCGCTACAATTTTTTTTATTAATTGTTTTCTTTTAATTGATTATTATTCTATATATTATTTTAACAAAGTATTCATTAATAAAATTATTTATTTGTTAAAATAAATTGGTTTAATTGTTGTATTTATAACTTTTTTTTGTACTAATACATTGCATGTAGAGTAACATGTAGCGCGAAGGACTGTAGATAAAAGTTAATTTTTGACATTCACTACTTTTTACTCTACTCTAGAGTAGAGCACATGACTAGAGATGGTGTAATGCTAAATAATTTGATTACAAGTTAGACGGTCTAACAGTAGCATATGTGTTAGCCATATTGACTCTTCATACTTTTTGATTTATTTTATTTTATTTTATTCTATTTTTGAAACGATAAATTTTATAAGACTTAAAAGGAAAGTTTTACAACGAAGACCTGAGAGCTAACTAGCACTTATAAAAGAACCAATGAGGTGGAATCAAGAGAAATGCTAATCGAAGCACCCTAGACAAACAAAAACAACTGGAATTGGGTTCAGACAATCAGCAGTGGCAAGCAACGACTGTGACCAGCATGCTGGAGCCAAATCCAAACAAAACAACAAACTAAATAGTAAATACTCAAGTGGAGAAGCGCGGACTAAAAAATAAAAGTAACACACACCTAAACTATCTATAAACTACTATCTCCCCAACACAAGCAACCCACAGCGGAACCCAGATGAGCATTAAGCTAGAATCCACGCACAACAAACCCACGAACAAGACCTAAAGCGTGACAGAAAGGCGAGACTGCGGCAGGAGATTTTAGGTTTCCTGAAAAAGTGGGAATTTAAAATTTTCCCTTGCAAATCTATTCAAGTTTCCTGTAAAAGGTCAAAAGTCGAAAGTTGAAGTCGAACAATAATGTTGTTAATAGAGTTTGATGCTTGAGTCGTATTTGGCTGGTCGAGCGAGCATTCATCCAAGAATCAGATTTGCCGATTGAGCTGTAAATGTGCAATAATCATTCGACCAAAAGGACTTATTTTCTAACTCAATGGAAGCCAAACCAGCCCTCAGGATCGTCATCATCATCACCGAACACAACTTGAATAACAGCTAGCGCGAGGCTGCAAATCATAAAATTCACCATTTGAAAAGAGAAAAAATGAATCCAAGGGCTTTACAACAGGATCAAAAACAGAGAAAGTGGTTTCTAGTGTTTTCAAGAGCCTTCTTTTGATTTGGCATGAATCAATCAGAATCTAAGGTTTTTGATTTGGCATGCATAGGAGCACCAAACGAAGCTTTTAAAAAAATGGCACCAAAGAAGCATGTATCCGTAATCAGTACTTATTTATATTCAAACATCTAAAGTTTTTGTGTTCTTAAGTATATTAGTTTATGGCTTGCCGGTTCCAGGAGAGACGGTGATAAGAAAAGCAGAGGAAGAAATGAAATAAAAGTAGCACTTTCACTATATTACCGAACATTAGAATGTGGATTTTGTCAACGTACCAATCGACTTCATAATGTGATTGCTCACGACATTGCTAAGTGGGCGGTGGGATCAAAAACTACGATTATGTGGTCAGATTTTATTCCAATATTTTTTTCTCCTCTGTTCTGTAAGAACTTGATGGTGTAATAGGGCTATAAGCCTTTTTTATTAACAAAAAAAAAATAAAAAAAAATAAAAAATCAATTTTTAGCTGCTATTTGCAAACACTACCAACTTCCACGTTTCAACTCCCAACTGCCTTGCTTTTAGATAGAAAATAAAAGATTTTCCGAAAGCAGATTTTTTCAAACGCCCACTTTAATTAAGGAATGATGAAAATAATTCGTGCGTAACTTTCTATACATAACCAACAAAGAATTTTCAACGAGAGGTCCTCAAAAAACCATCTGCATCCAAAGCTACAAAAGGGCACGGCTAATGGATTTCAGAAGGCAATCTCCTTTTTTTACTTAACTCTAAAACTCATGTAGTGAGGAACGAAAATCGAACTCTTCATTACTGGAGTCGAGGACCAAAACCAAAGCTTTAATTGAGCCGGCAGCAATAGCTCTATAATCAACATACATTCTAATGAGAACAAGAAAGAATATCACACATTCCTCGTTAAAGGGACAAGAGTTTCGGCAAACCTGGTAATAGTTAGGACAAAGAAGATAATGTAAAAAACCAACTTGACAATTCGAACTTTCTTCTCGTCATTGAGTACTCTAAAAACTTCAGTCACATCAATAAGATGCTGTCGTGCTAAGTACCTGATATGAAAAATGGAAAATGTGGAGGTGAGAAAAGTGAATAGTTCACTTTTAAATTCATGATCAGCGATTTCTAAAAGTTGGGCAAACGTAGATTGTAACCTCACGAGGTTTCTAGTGAAAAATTAATCTATATAGTTAATAGTTATGAACTCATTTCGAAAAAGAAAACAGAAAGAAATGAACATTTGTAAATCTGAAGGAGGCATTTACCGTTTATAAGATAACTGTGTATTTTCAGAATCAGGCTAAATCCTGAGCTTAATTATCTTGATATTGTACATCAGATGCGTCACAAATTACCTTACCCATGGTGATTTAAGAAAATTGCAATATTTAGTGCGTAAACGAGATTGATAATTTTGATTAGATGAAAGCTTACTTCTTCAGATTATAATAAGCAGGAGGCAGTGAGAGAAGGAACATTATCCAATGCCCTGTCACAAGAAACAGAATGGAGAACGCCCCTTGCAATAAATACTCGAGAACAATCACATAGTTGACACGAGATGATAATTCGTACGGGTTCAAATAATCAGCCTCCAAGTCCGAAAAACCTAGAAACTACAGAAAACAAAAATTATGACTTGAGATGAATATACAAATTTTCAGCTATGTGGGAGCTCAAATATTGTGACGGGGTATAAAAACACATGAACAAACATCGTACGGAAATAAGTGAACTGTAAAATAGAGGAAAGAAAGAATAATGGGGGGAAAACTCAATACGAATATAAGCTTTTGAATAGAAGCACCACCAATCCTCCAGATGGAAAGATTATATAGCCGCATTGAGTGAAAAATAACGTTCTAATCACAGGTAGTGCGATAACAACTGAACAAGAGTTACACAGTCTCCATATAATACATTAGGGAACAAAATGAAGCAATTGAATGCAAAAGTCGCAATCTGTAGAAGTTCTCAAAGTAAGAGGAACAACCGAATATTTTCAATTTGTTCCTTCATGTCCTCACCAGTTTCTTAAAGTAACTTTGAGATTGCCATGGGTTCATAATACAGAAATAGAAGGTCAACCTAGTGGTTCCACAGATTACGTGGACTTCAGCAAATTTTGAGAGAAATAGGAAACAAAAAAAAAAGGAATCCTTTTCAATTTCATATGTATGATTAGGTTCCAAAGATTACATGGACTTCAGCAAATTTTGAGAGAAATAGGAAACAAAAAAAAAGAATCCTTTTCAATTTCATATGTATGATTCATGTTTGTACAAGTCATGAAACAATACAATTCAAGTCAAATATATTGTTCATAAACATAATGCAAACTTAATTCAACTAGAACTAGCACAGAAATGCTGGGATCATCGGTTACATTACATATCAGGCTACTCAAAACAATTGTTCTAATTGTTCGCAAACTATGTCAAATGTTCTCACAAATATTGCTGCAGACCACATTAAAACTCAAAAGTTCACTTGGTTCTTGCAAGCAATTAATATATTAATAAGTGAGGTCACCTGTTTAATTAAGGCTCAAACTATTCATAATCAAAGATCGAGTGTAAGAACCCTCTAACAAAATCAAATCTTTATTGCTCTAAGCAATCACTGTCAAATAAAAAAGGCCTTTTTCTACTTCAGCCTCTGCTATCATGAATTCAAATTTCTCACCAACCCCAAACCCCATTGCGCATGTAAATGGGAAGGACCCCAAAAAAGGACG